GTGAGGTATTATCCTTAAGGCTACGATTTTGTCACAGAGATAGTGGAAGTCACAGAATCTGTGACTTCCAAAGACCTCTGTGACTTCAGCCCAGGGTGGCTGGGAGCTGCAGGGGGATCCCTGCGGGCAGCAGGGTGATCCCCGTAGCTCCAAGCTGTGGTGGAGTGGGGGACCCTGAAACTCAGAGCCCCCATGGGTGGTGTGGGCCCCCAGCGCTCCGAGCCCATCCCTACCGAGCTGCCCAGGGCTTCCCATTTTGTCATCGATATTTTTAGGAAAAGCCACGGACAGGTCACGGCTTCCGTGAATTTTTCTTTATTGCCCATGACCTGTCCCTGAATTTTACTAAAAATATCCATGGCAAAATCCTTAATTAGCCTTAATTATCCCTATTTTACAGATGAACCTCAGGGATTAAGTGACTTCCTCAAGGTTATGCAGCAAGTCAGCAGCAGAGGTGGGACCAGAACAGTTTCCTCCTCTAGTAATAATTGTGGTGCTATTATTTACATTTAAATAAACAAACCTGTTCCCAGGCCCATAAAATGTCCAAGCTAAAGAGAAAACATGTTGGCAAAGGATGAGGTGCAGCTGGGAAATTTAGCATGTGCCTATTCATTCTACTTTATTTATCATTTTATATGAAGGGAAGGGAATAATGATCTCCATAGTTGTGTTTTGAGAAGAGATTTAACATAGGGACTCCCTATCCAGACAGTACCTCTGCACAGCTTTCATTTTATTATATAGTAGAGCAAGAATCAATTAAATGTGGATGTGCTATTTATTAGGCGCTAATGACTAAAATGATCTAATCTGCTAAGAGCAGGGTTCATTTATTTACCAATAACAGAGAATTTATTTCACATTATGGTGCTTCCTTCACTTGCTAACGGTGTGTGACTTGTATAATAACTCCAGTTTTTTCTCAATAACCAAACAGCATACAAAGCACTGTACTCTGCCTGAAGGCCATTATTAGCCGCTCAGAGTGTATATATTTCTGTCTCTCCTGTTAAGAGGTTATATACATCTTGCTCATTAGTCACTATGAATTCCCCCATGCCGATTGGCTATTTCCCTTAGCACTCCCTATTCACATGCCCACAACAAAAACTGCTGCCCCAACTTCTGCTCCCCATCCCACTCAGTCTCCTTAGTGACCCATGGAGATTGACTAGAATTTAAATTAAAAAGGAATTACACTTTTTGGGGAAAAGAGAGCCAAGCTTTCCTGAGATGCAAGAGGAACAGAGGAAGGGAGAGGTCTGAGATTAGGAGGGGTGGAGATCAGATGCTGAGGAGGACATGTTTGCTGTGGACATGGGAAAGGACAGTTGGGGAGTAGTAGCTAACAGTAAGAGGAATAAGACATTTCAACATAATCATAAAATGAGGGTGTAATCTGCTAACTCAGTTTTACAGGTGGGCTATGGTTATTTCAAACAGGGAAACCCCATCAACATTTTATTTTATTTTCATTGTATCCAGTGGCATTTCATTGCCCCAGAAACCAGTGTTGTGCATGTGGAATTACCTTTGGCTTCAGGGAGAGTTCTGGGAAGGACGGTCTCCGTGCATGGTATGTTAGAAACCTCCTTACAAGGCCGGCTCCAGGCACCAGTGCAGCAAGCAGGTGCTTGGGGTGGCCAACAGAGAGGGGCAGCACGTCCGGCTCTTCGGCGGTAATTTGGCAGCGGATCCCTCACTCCCTCTTGGAGCGAAGGACCAGCCGCCGAATTGACGCCGAAGACTGAAGCGGTGACAGTAGAGCTGCTGCGCAGATCGCGATCACGGCTTTTTTTTTTTTCTTTTTGCTTCTTGGGGCGGCAAAAACCCTGGAGCCGGCCCTGCCTCCTTAACCCAAAAGATGACGAAACAAGACTTTCCAACCTGCTGCTAAAGAATGGAATTTCTCCATATGTTGGGGAAACTTTTTTTTAAAGGAAGTTGTACTTGGGAGGCAAGAGACCAAAGAAAACATTATAGGAAACACCCCAAGCAGATGATGAAAGGTGTTTCCTGTAGCACTGCAGCTATTAGCCTATTGTTGCAAAAGAGCAGAAGTCTGCAAACCTGCCAGAGGAGCAGAAATTTCTTACATTTCTGATTTATTATCAGGGGGCTCAAATAATCATGAACCACACCCCATCTGCCACCACGAATGAATAAAATGTGATGAATTACCTGCAGCAAAAGGTGTGTTCCACATTTTTGTCACATCTCACTCTCCCCCCCCCCCCCCCCTTAAGTATTAATATCCTGAATAGATGCAGACTTGTAAAGCTGTCATCACTGGTGAGTTGTCAGCCTGGCCTTTGCTGCTGTTCTTTCTCTTTCTTCCCCATTTGTGTTCAATTTCCCTTCAATCCTTTGAGACTGATGTAGAAACTGTAAAAACTATTAGCCCTTAAGTAGCTGTCATAATCCCACTTTAGACATGAAGCTGGTTGGGTAATGATTACAATCACCATAGTAATCTAAGGCCCTGTCTACATTAAGGAAATTCCCACTGGTGGATCTATGTAAGTGTTCTGGGTACAAACCTGCTCTCCTGCAAATTGATCCTTCACTGCTGACTGACATTTCTGCAGTCAACTACTCGAGAAACCCACAAAAGAGTTGCATGATACCATGAGAACATACAGCATGATGTGTGGCTGCATTCGAGGAGGCAGGATTGAGCCCGTAGCAAGAGGAGGCAGAGAGCATTGCAATTGGTTCCAACGGGAGTAAGTAGCATGCCAAGAATAGAGAGAGGGGTTTTTTTTAAACAAACCAACCACCCAGGCTTTGATGAGGGGGCCCGTCCAATGTGTAATACTGCAGAGGCTTCTCCAGGACTGATGAACAATTTCAGTTGTGTTTCTTTACCAGTCTTAATAACAGGTCAAAATGCAGTGATGAAGTAGGAAGCTTTTGGTGCACTTTGGTACAGGGTAACTCTTTCAGAAATGCTAAGCTGCAGAGCCCCAGTTGCTATCACAGGTTTACCTTCAGGTGGAAGGTTTGGGTGTCCTGACCTGACATGGGTAATGCAAGGTTGTATTAAAATGAATTGGAAACGATTGGAGTGAATGGTTGCACCCCACGGTGGTGAGAGGTTACTAGTTGGGTTGCCACTTACTGAACACACTTGTTACTGATCTGCAGGAGGGAATGATGGGGAGCTGGTGATGCTGGTGGACAAGAGAGTTCTTTCAATTCATAAGAACTACAGAGAACTGTGAGTGACCCGATAGAAGTGGGCTTGGTGATGGTAGGTAAAATTCATCTTGAAAAGGGGAGTGTGTTTAGCGCAGTAGAGCTCTAGTTCAGCCCTAGGTTTGCTTGGCCCTGTATAAAGCATATTAATATTACGGGTCCCCTCCCACTTTCTTCACATTCTCTGCCTCCCCAACAACCACATGTACTACTCCTTCTGGCTGACCTAAAACATACACTTGTTCAGGAGGCTCAGTGGCCTCTGGTGACTCTCCCTGAGGGACTGGGAAGCCAGGTATTAGTGTAACCCACTGATGAGTGTGTTACAAAGTCCCCTATTTGTCCACCCACACACCAGTGCATTACACTAGAAACAAAGCATCACCATCTATAGTTAATATCTGCATAACCCAGTAGCACCAGAATCCAACAGGCTGTGGAGGTGGAATTGGTTGCTTAGTCTGATGCTGCATGTGGAACAAGACCTTGTGCAACTTCATGGAGTGTATAGGCCTAAGTCCGGCTGCCAGTGCTGCCTAGCTTGCTGTGTGAGCACAAGCAAGTCCGTGTATAATGAGTCTAAAAATACTTACCTACGTCACAGGTATAGTGTGAAATTTGTTTAATGCCTGTAAAAGTACTCTAAGTCCTTTGCATGTATATAGTGCTGTTCACCCAAAGATTTAATATGAAAAGCATTTGCTTTATTTGTTAAGTCTAGAACAACATTTTGAGTATGTGCTGGTGGGTTCAAATCTCACATAATCTGATCGTGACAGGAATCTAGAAAGAATTCCTTCTCCCTGTGCCGCTCACCCACACCATGTACAGCATCACTGGTTGTCCATTGGTAGAGGCAAGATCCTGGACCTGAAGGAATTATAGGCTGATCTACTCCAGCAAGTCCTGTACGATAAGTTAAGAATAGGCATCAAGTGAAGAAGCCATCCATCTAGGCTGAGAAACAGCAAATCACCAGCCTGATACAAATGGTATAGTTAGTTTTCCTCATTTTGCTAATGTTTCTCCCTCAAAAATCAATACACGTCTATAATAGCTTTGGCTTTATTATTTTATGTGCTGTTAAAATCCATTTCAATTCCAGAAAGCCCTTTAATTTTCAGGATGAGCATTTACATTGTATATTTGTGGGAGCAATACACTTATATAATAAAGAGTTTGGTTTCATTATTTACTCATAAACGCCTAGATGTCCAAATCACATTTACAGTTCACCAAATATAATTTTAAGCAAGCCTCTAAACTCTTACTGAATACACTTGAAACCTTTAACACGTTTTTAGTAAACATAGAGTAGAATTTCTTTTAATGTTACGCAAGAGGAGATTAGCAACTACACTATAACATAATCAGAAACTGGAGCTGTGTGAAACCATATGCAAAGGTTCTTTAAAAATCTAATTAAGTCTTTGCTGGACTTTAGTTTCTATATGCAAGTCCTATTGGCATCAGTGGAAAGCGAGGACACACTGCAGCCCTTGTGAAAAAACATTGGTCTTGAGTGGGAGATTTTTTGGTAAATGTTTTCTTCTGGCCTCTGGAATGAGGGCAGCAAGTTCAACATTTTCCTGCTTTGCTGAGAGCAGATGAAATTGCCCCAAACCTCTGTTTTCATTGTGACAATTTCAAGACACAAAACCAGGGATCTCCACACAGCTCAGCTCCTGAGATCAGTTTCAACAAAACTAACTGGGGCCAGATTCTGCTCTGACTTCCATCCTTGGGCAGCCCCATTGTGCAGGCTGTGAGTTGTTATGGCAGAATCGAGCCCATCTTTGCTACCCTTGTCATTGTGTTTATTGTCTTTCTACATTTTGCTAGGGACTCTCCTCGCACCCCTTTGAAAGCCACGCATGATTGGACTTTAAGCACATTTACTCATGCACTCCAGCAGCTCCATCCTGATGGCAATGCGCACATGCCAGCCTAGAGGTATTAATCGGATGTAGCGGGAAACAATCGGAGGGCGCAGGAGATTCTGGACAATGGATGATCTGTCTGAGTTTCCATAGAAAACCTACACAACACCAAGAGAGACAAAAAGGCAGGTTAGCACAGAGCAGATTGGGCTAAGGGCTAGATCTCCCTCTTCCCCAGCTCATGTGACAATCCATTTTCACGCACACCAGTGTCATAACTATAAAGGGAAGTGTAACAGCCCTCCTGTGTACAATACTATAAAATCCCTCCTGGCCAGAGACTCCAAAATCCTTTTACCTGTAAAGGGTTAAGAAGTTCAGGTAACCTGGCTGACACCTGACCCAAAGGACCAATAAGGGGACAAGATACTTTCAAATCTTGGTGGGGGGAAAGGCTTTTGTTTGTGCTCTTTGTTTTTGGGGAGAGTTCGCTCTTGGGACTAAGAGGGACCAGACATCAATCCAGGCTCTCCAAATCTTTCTGGACAAGTCTCTCATATTTCAAACTTGTAAGTACAGCCAGGCAAGGTGTGTTAGTTTTATCTTTGTTTTCTCAACTTGTAAATGTACCTTTTGCTAGGGTGTTTACCTCTGTTTGCTGTAACTTTGAACCTAAGGCTAGAGGGGATTCCTCTGGGCTCTTTAAGTTTGATTACCCTGTAAAGTTATTTTCCATCCTGATTTTACAGAGATGATTTTTACCTTTTTCTTTAATTAAAAGCCTTCTTTTTAAGAACCTAATTGATTTTCCTTGTTTTTAGATCCAAGGGGGTTGGATCTGTATTCACCAGGGAATTGGTGAAGAGTCTCTCAAGGCTACCCAGGGAAGGGAATTAGCATCGAGAGTGGTGGCAGCGGACCAGATCTAAGCTGGTAGTTAAGCTTAGAAGTTTTCATGCAGGCC